TTAAATGAGGTGCCTTCTACTCAGCTTTGATAAGTGAGCTTTTTCAACTAGCTCTTCCATCAGAGGTGACCTCAACAATCCAGGATTAATAAATAGTTTATGAAAAAGTCAATATTTTCTGATGTGATCTGCACTGGCAATAAAAGCATCTGCCCACTCGGTCCCTGGGAGGTAAGGCAGGTCCATGTCAGAAAGGAACAAGAAAAACAAGCTGGTGGTGTCTGAACTCATGATAAATCTATACTGCTTCTAACCCTTGTTTCACCCACAGTGCTTTTCCTGGAGCCGGAGCTGTGTCTGCAGTCTTTGGAAACCCTCATGTGTTAGGGAGATTATTTTAGGATTATTGCTGAAAAGAAGGTGTTATGTCAGTATAGTCTCTCTTTGATGTGTGTGTTAAATCAGCCCTTAGTGACAGGTCTATTTTGGTGGCGGGAGCCCCTTTTTCATATGGCATAAAAGCAAAGAGTGCACTTGCTCTTTTCTGGGGCTGCGATTCCTGCTTTAATAAATTTACTGTTGAATTCTTCCAGCCGTTTTGTAGTCTGGTCTGTGTGAAAATTGGAATATAGTCACCTGCTGTTGTTGAGAGCTTTGAGTCTGACACAAAAGGTACAGTGTCCTGGAGCTGCTGCTTCAGTCCCCATTACGGGATACTGGTGACGAGTGGCCTAGGGATTTATGGACTTACACTGGGAGGAGAGAGCACCTTCTGGAAACTCGGAGCTGGTTTTGTGCTTTATGTAACTGTCAAAACATCACACGGGATCACCAGGTGTTGGCAAACTTCTGAGCTCTCTGCTTGTCCCCTAGTTTTAATTGTGAAATAGCACTTAGTCCCATGGGAATGTCAGGGAAGATCATCAGCGAGGAAAATAAAAAAGGTAAAACAGCATCTGTGTCAATGCAATCTCATCTGCACTGATGCTGGTGAACCTCACCGTCTTTTTATACGAGCAGTCAAGATGCTGGAGGTGGGATGTCCAGCCTGGTGTACCCGGGACTAGACCCCTCTGGGAACGGAGGCATCTCCGCTGGGCTGTAAGCAAGGTTTTGCTGCCTGAGCTTTGGTGACTGCTGTAAATTCTGCCCTGGTGTCTGTAGCTGTTTCCCAGAGGTATGTAGGGAATTAAGATTGTGGATTACAGTCTGTAAATGTTGTCCAAAGACTAAAAGCTTTGATGGAATCCCTTTGTAGATTTACATGTATCCTTACTGCTTCCCATGAGAAACCTGGGCTCCCAAGGCCTGCAACTGAAAATGCTTGAAAACTAGAATGTAGGTTTTATTAAGGACCTGTGTTCAATGAAGACTGTTGCACTGCAGGTCAATGGAAAACATTTCTTAAAAAAAAAAAAAAAACCTTTCCTCTTTCCTCTGCTCTCCCCTGCCACCACCACCCCGCCGATCGTAATGCTTTGATTCTTGTTCTCTGATAATACTCGTCAAAAATTGCGTGTTTCCTGTGTCTTAACTCTTTCGGTGAAGTACTGGAAAGTACTTTCTCTTTAGTAACTTTTCAAAGACAGATTGAAGTATGTGACTCGGGGAAAGTGATGTGGCTGCAGGCCAGCAGTATTCTACAGAAAAGTTGGTTTTTCTGGTTTTGGCTCAGACGTCTGCTTCCACGGCTGCGGTGACCGAAACCCGGTATGGTTTGCACGTATGTTTTCGGTTGCAGTTCAGAGGAACTGTTGGGCAGAGAGCTGCTGATTTATGCTTCCTTAAAAAATTATGTGATTTTCAATTTTTTTAAGTAAGGGCTGTGTTTTATTGGATATTCTCCTTGGATGGCAAGCTTGACAGAAAAAAATATAAGGGTGTGAGCAAGGAATGAGAAACCTCTGAGTTGGTGTTGTACTTTTTAAAAAAGTGTTTGCTCCAGTAAACAGCTGCTCAAAATACTAGTTAAGAGAGAGAAAAATTTTAAATGAGTCACAGCATAACAAGAAAAATGTGTTGATAGGAAGATGTATTTGAGAGCTTCAGAATTAATTGCATTAAAGCAACTAAAAAGCTAATTTTGAATTAAACCACAGTGGGTTTCTTTTTTCACATGCTGGACATTGCAACAAAACGAAATATCCTAAATGCTGACATGCAAAAATTGGCTGTGAAACTGTTTGTGTAATGGCTGTGTGGCTTGGAAGGAAGCAGAAAGCCTCCGCTTCAAGTGCGGCATGTGATTTCTTCATATTGATTCAGGGTGACCTCTTTTGTCCCTGGATCTGAGACTGATGTAACTGCAATCACAAATACTTGAAGGGGAGGAGACAGAACAGCTTGCTTTCTGGTGGCTTGGCTTTGCAGCTGTTTACAAACCTCGCCAGAAAGAATGCAAAAAAAAAAAAAAAAAAAAAAATCTTGCTACTCGGAGACCTGCTTTGCTTACTCCAGGGAAAGCTGCTGAACTTTGACGCTACACAGAACTTTTAGTGCTGGTGTTCACAGAGGGCTCGTGGGATGCCAGAGGTGCTCGTATGTGGTGAAAGCCCTGTGGATACAGAAAGATGGTTTTTGTGCATCTGTGAAAGGACACAATTGGTGTAGAAACTGAGGATGCTGTTAAGCTTTCAGAAAGCAAGCTGTTGATGTGGGATAGAAGCAAGGTCACATATTTATCGTAGAATCATAGAATGGCCTGGGTTGAAAAGGAAATTTCTTTCTCCTCCTTTAGTTTTGAAAAAAATCTGAGCGTCCAAAGCATGGTGGTTTTGGATAAGAACAGCAGACACCTGAATTAAAGAAATTGGCATACAGACTGCAATGGCAAAGCTGTTGTAACTTACTCCAGTGCAGTGGGTGATAGGATCAGGATGGTATTTCCTTGGGTGACAGAGGTGGGTGTAAAATTTCTCTGAAGTTTGTGTTATGAAAATGTTTTTATCTGTTGCGTCTTTGTAGCTGCCTGTAGTTCACAGTGACTGATCACCATTAATGGCACTATTGAAAATCTGATGCATGGTGTTTTCTTCTGGTCCAGGAAACTGCGCTAGAAGTCTCTAATCACAATGCTGCTGCAGCTTCTGTGCTTAGGAGGCAGTCCTTAAACTGGATCAGGAGCAGCTGGAGAGTTTCGAGCTTTCGCTTCCCCATTTGTTTCAGAATTGCTGATAAAAGGCATTTGTGATGCTCTGAGAATGGGCTGTTTCCAGATCCTGCCAACATGCAATTCTGTCCCAGGCTGTGCCGCTGACAAACATTTGATGTTTAGTTTCGGGTCTGCTAGAGAGATTGTTGGTCAGCAGAGCTGGGTACCCTTCCAGTCAACACAGAGACCTGACCTGAGGCATCGGCAAATGAAAATGGTACAGCATCAAAAGATTTTTTGTGAAGGCGATGTACTTATTTTCCTCTGTTAATCTGTCCATATGGGAATGAAGTAAAGCTTTGTCAAATATTTAAAATCTAGTTGTTTTTTCAGTTTGCTTTGCAGAAGCGTATTAATGTCTGTTGAACTGTCAGGCATTTCTGTAGGGGAAAAAAAGCTGCTCTCTGTCTATATAGATGAGAAAACGTGTCTATAAATTATGTCATTTAGAAACTGATACCCTTAATATACAGGTGTCTACAATGAAACTCTCTAGATTATTTTTAGAAACTCATTACTTGTTTCAAAGATAAAAAAAGTTAGTAGGAGCCTTAGTACTAGTCTAGATAAAATGGAATATTTAATTTGTTCCCCCTCAGAGAAAGCAGCATTTGTTTCCTGTTACTTTACTTAAAATAACTTGGTTAGATTAGTGGGAAACTTTAAACGTTATCAGTCTCTTGAAATGGTTGACCTTGTATAATTGAGCTTGGAAGAACTGCATTTCAGTGTGTGTTGGGTTTCCTTGTGTGATCTTAAGTAAGGTGCTGGAGGGGAGGGCAGGGCTGGTTTAAAGATCTGCTGCTTTTCCTGCTAGGGGAAGAAGTCCTGGGGGTGCCTTTGGTTACAAATGTGAGAGCAAGAAATCACATTGCCCTGGTGCTTGCTCAGCTGATGTGAAGCACTCTGCTGAGGATTGCAGGAAGAAAAAGGGGCTGGATTGGGTGGCCAAGTTTCCAGTGGAGATATTTCTAGTGTCTGTGTATGTCAGTATTGCAATCCAAACATCAGTGTTTTAATATGTGGAGCTTAAACTTGTTAGTGCAGGTGATCCTCTGCGGCTTTTCTCCTAAAAAATGAATCCAGCATTTGGAATTAGAAGGAAGTAGCTGAAATGCCCTTGGGAGCAAGCTGGCATGTGGGATGGTTTCTGTCCAGCAAAAAAAAAAAAAAAAAAAGAGGAAGGGCTGGATCGTTTCAGGCCAGGCTCTGCACACTGGTAGGGTAGGCATGAAGCATGAGAAGAAATCTTTTTGTTGCAGTTGCTATATATAAATTCTATAAAGCTGTGCTTTATGCAGATGCCCAACTTAACTCTGAAGTAACTGGAGGACTGGATGAGGCGGAGGTGCATCTCATCCGTGTTCCCGTAGCCGGCTGCGCTGGTGTGACCCCTCACCGTGCCGTGCAGGTGTATTCTGTGAGGCCAAAGCCGTGTTAGCTGAAGTCTCACTGGTGTGATTCTTTGCAGAGACAGTCTCGGCCTGAATACCAACCTGTTGACATTGTGTCTCTTGCTCAATTCGCCTCTCTTTGGTGCTGACTGTAACTTCCTCTGTTTCTTTTTTCCTCTGTGCCTCAGTGGCTGTTAGAACAATGGGGTGGTGAGATCAGAGAGTTGGGCCCTTTTCCTCCTGTGTGTGAAGCTGGTACAGCTGGCCGAGCTCTCCAGGACTGTCTGCAGGTCAAAGCTGTGCAAACAGAAGCTAAGGCTGCAGCTGGCTTTCGGGGCTGTGTGGTTATGTAACTGTGCCCTTCCTCCTCTGCCCTTTGTTTTGTTGCTATGGAACTTTTCAATAATTAAAACAGGTGACTTCTTTCTAAAAGACAAGCCTTCAGAAGAAATTATTTCTAGCAGACTGTTGTCATGTTCCTGTCTTTAACCCTTTTCTCTTTAAACAGGAAGAAAATGAACCTGAAATCTGAACGCAGAGGAATTCACGTTGATCAGTCAGAGCTACTGTGCAAGAAGGGATGTGGTTACTATGGCAATCCTGCTTGGCAGGGATTTTGCTCCAAGTGCTGGAGAGAGGAATACCATAAGGCCAGGCAGAAACAGATTCAAGAGGATTGGGAGCTGGCAGAGCGGTAAAGAGCCCTCTTAATTCCTTCATCTTTTATGGTAGTGTGACTTCACTAAATACAATTCCTGCCTCCTGTTTTCTACTTCTATTTACTCTGCCTTAGTTGCATCATAAGTTCTCAAATTTGAGCTTTCCAGCA